CATTTTGAGTGGTTTTTCACCAGCGTTTCTCTAGCGATTGAGACTCGTTATCAGAATGTGGCTGCGATGGCTGTTTAGCGACGAAGATGGAAAAGACATATCTTGTTAGCGCTTTTTGATACATTTCCAATCGCTGTATGGAATAGTTTTTGTCTCTTAATGATATTTCGTGCGCGTTATAAGATTGACCTTAACCAGCCATGCAAGATGCCGTTTACTTAAGAACTTTCTCGTACAGATCTTGCTTTTGTGAACGACTTCATAACTTCAATTTGTGTTGATCAAAGTTGATGTGAGGTTCTATGAAATTCCCATCTCTGGTTATTATTTATTAATAAGGTTCTGAAATATCTCAGTTTGATTCTCTGAAGTGTTGAATTATGTCGGCTAAATCTTCGGTCTTGGCAGAATTTTCATAAACTTTAGATTATTAGGGTCCAAAATTACTTTTACGTGCATGGCTACACTGAAGCTTTGGCTTAATATTAATCATACCGTTTAAATAAAGATGAATTACACGAAATAATGAAAATTCTCCTAGCACAACCACCCTATCATTGTATCGAGGCTTCCATCACTGTAACGATCAATGTAGGTGTTGGTAGAATTAAAAAGGGTATCAGCAAATAAGCAGCAACAATGCACAAACATTAGCACCCTTAGCTTTACAGTTACCCTTACCTCTTCGCCAGCGTCACCAATACCACTCAACCATAGCCATCGCCATCTCAACCACGTATCCTCTCTCGACACCACTATCACTACTACCAAAAAACAACACAAATCCAGTCACCTTCATTGCCACAAACTGGAGAGCGTGCACCGTCACGACGAGAAGGCCGAAGACAACTTTTATATTTAACAATTATTCGCCGAAGGCGAGGTGAATATCGTCGAATAGTTCCCGAGACGAAGTCGAGGGGATTATTCCACAATATTTACCGAACCTGAGGCGAATAATTGTGTTAGTATAATTTCAGAGCTGAGCAACAAAGAAATTTCTAAAATCATAACATTTTAGTAACATTTATTAACATTATATTTTAACATTTTATATAAGCCGCGTGGAGCGGTTTATATAGCGTCATATAAGGAACCGCTCGACCAATAAGATTGCCGGAAACTCTTTGCTTAGCTCTGAAATTATACTAATTAAAAATGTTNTCTGCAGTGGTGTTTGCGTCTGACTGTACTAGATGATAGTAGGTCTTTAGTCTTGGGCTGTTACATGATTTTTTCAGCTCAGTACCGCCTTCGTTTCGGAGATTGTAGAGCCACTTTGGTAACACCTTGCTGATGGTATAGGGACCTGACCACGCCCGCTCCGGTTTGCCTCCTTTTCTTGCCTCGTTCCGTAAGTTTGTCAGCACAATGGTGTCACCCTCCTTTGTCGGCTGGTGCTTTGCATCGTACGATATCTTTGCCTCTCTCGTGCTTTTTTAATGTTATGCATGGCTTGAACCTTAACCCGGTCGCGATTTGAAGACCTGATAGCTTGTCCCACCGGACTGTACTTAGGTCACACCTGTCCACATCATGCAGGAACTCGCACTCGCGTCCGTGCCATTCGATTCCGCCAATGAAATAAATGAAATTGTCAAGGGACACTGGTAAAATCCTGTCTCATATCCAAATGATTAAAAGATGAGATTTCTTCCCACTTGAGTAATTTAGGGTTAAACTGCATGATAAAGGAAACATGTTTCTCTTCGGTCCCTTCTTTTGCACATTTTGGGCCAAAGTCAACCTCGTTCCCAGGGCCTTTGCCCCTTAGCTCCACCCCCAACTAAGGGAAAAGGCCCTGGGAACGAGGTTGGGCCAAAGTGACGTTTAGAGTGTCGAATCTGCCAACCGCGATAATAATGCCAACTGCATTTCAAAGAACAAAGCAAACATCTCATCTTTATTGTTGACAAATATCTTCCAAAGACGTGTTTCCTTCCGAAACTGGTAACTCGGTTCAAACGTTTGAGTATGGATCATAGCATGACATGTGCATTCTTAAGAGCTCCTGTCGGTATTCAACTGACCCTATTCTCGTGCTTTACAACTTACCATTACAGGAAAAAAGTCGGCTATCTCTTAATTTAAAGGTCTCTCATCACGCAATGTATACCAGCTACTTTCACGAGGAAAATAGCACATCATGTTTTTTTTTTACTGTAGGTGTTTAAAACAGGGGCCTTACAAAACTTCCTCGGAGTGCCATGGAGATACCGGGAGATTATCAAAGTTCTTTGAGTCAAGTATGCTGATAGCCACCTTTACAAGATCCAAACAGCTTTCATCGCCTTTGGCTAGTGCATTTGTCACGACATCATTGCGCAGAGAGTCACGCGATATGTAAGTAATTCTGTCGCTTCGTTATGTCATGATTAATCCAGACAAGAATGAGGTTAAACACATTTTTCTCGGAGAGAACATGAAGCTCATCGCTGGAAATCGACATTGTAAGTTTCTTGCTCGACATTTCAAAACATCTTCACGATTCTGAGTAAATAAGGTAGTAAAATTTGCTAAGATGAGATAAGTTCCTCGCAGTGATATTCATCGCCAATACGGAGCATTGACGTATAATT